TGGGATTAAGAAATATATTGGCTCATTTTAATGTATTAGCCTGTGTTTACCCAGATTCTATTAAACAAGGCTAAAAATAGAGAGAGATGGCAATCAGATGACTGAGAGTCAACATTGGATTAGCCATGGATGGGCAACTACTGAGGCTGGACAATGAGCTGTCTCGTGAGCCTTGTACTATTCTCTCTGTTAAACAGCTTTAAAATTATAAAAGTAAAAACCAATTCATCTTCACACACACTTTGAACATCTGTTACCTTATTTTGTCCCTTCTCCTCTTCACTGTCATTTCTTCCAATTTAGGGAAGCGTCCTTTTTTAAATGCTAAGTAAGAACTGAGCATCCAGAAGAAGCTTTCCCACACCTAAACCCCCTTTGTTTTCTTACATTTTAACACTCCCACCATGGTGCCGCAACCCAAACAGGCATTCATTCCAACTGGCTCATCATCCTGGGTCCCTGCTGGTGAGCAGAACAGCCCTATTTTATCCCTTATTCCCAGTCTCCAATAGTTAAGTAGTGCAAGAATAATTGACACAGTAAAGGAAAGGGTGGAGCAAGGGAACAGATGACTTGAGACCGTGGAGGAGTCAGGCAGGAGAAGGCCTGTCAAGGGTCAGCTTGACATTTATGCCATTTTTTCCTTACAGATCACTTCAGATTTCCAAGCAACCCAGAAAATTACCTACCGAATTTCTGGGGTGGGAATTGATCAGCCCCCTTTTGGGATCTTTGTCGTTGACCCAAACAATGGTGATATTAACATAACGGCCATAGTTGATCGTGAGGAAACCCCGAGCTTCCTGGTAAGTCCTCAGTCAGGGTATCCTTCTCCTTGTACTTTGTGACATTAAACGGTAGCTCTTCCCCAGGTGGGTTTGCAAGATAAGGAATTACCCAGATTAGTCTATCAACGAATAAAATTAATCCCTCTACTAAAAACCTCCCCCAGTGGTTCATGTGCCTGGCATAATACACCCAGAGAGTGAGGGTGAGGATGGGAACTTTCCAGAACTTCATCCTGCCAAAAAGCAGCAGCTTGAAGGAAGGGCAGCTGGGCCAATGGCAGGAGTGGGAAACGTTTCCTTTGCCCACACTTTGGGGAAATGTTTTTCTTCTTTATTCATTAAGTTCTGTAAATGCCAGCATTGATCTAATTTATGAGTGTTAACAATATTCAAACTAACTCCATATAGTGACAATGGATATTCTCCTTGTGTTTCTAGATCACATGCAGAGCTCTAAATGCCCTGGGACAAGATGTAGAGAGACCACTCATATTAACAGTGAAAATTTTAGATGTCAACGACAATGCTCCCATATTTTCACAAACCATATTCAATGGTGAAATTGAAGAAAATAGTGCTTCAAGTAAGTCTTTATAGTTCCTGCCGCTTCCAATTCACGTCTTTCAATTACATATATCATTATGTCATTTTTACAAACTATTCTGTTAGTTTGCTCAGTAGTTTGACAACAAAAAATTCATTACGATAGTCTGAGTTTTCCTTTCCAAATCTTGTAGTAACTCTTAACAATTACCATCAGAATTACATTTGTAGATTATAGTCTCGTCACAAAGTTAGTATCTAGGTATACAACTTCTTTCTGAGTCACAAACGTGAAGAGGCCTCTTAGGCAGCCTGGATACACAAGCTCAATGTTTTTAGATTTTAAGGAAGAGAGACATATTCACATTATTTGGATCATATTTAAAAGGAAACATGAAAGTACATCTGTCTGGAAAGAACTCCAGACAGAAGATAGCCCCACTCTCAACAAAGCCAAGGCTGAGGGAGCATTAGGTTTTTCTGAAAGCCAATAAATTCTAGAAAGAGACAGTAACAGTGACATACTTTGGTTTTTTTTTTTTTATTATTGTTTTTAGCAAACAGGTAGTTTAAAAAAAAATTTAAATGGGAATCAGTGCTAAAATATTTTGACTCTTTAATGTGACTGTGATGTCAAACTTTATGTAGGCTTTGACAATTTTCCTGTATTCCTAGATTCACTGGTAATGATCCTAAATGCCACAGACGCAGATGAGCCAAACCATATGAACTCTAAAATTGCCTTCAAAATCGTCTCCCAGGAGCCTGCAGGCATGCCCATGTTCCTCATCAGCCGAAACACTGGAGAAGTCCGCACTTTGACCAGTTCTCTTGATCGAGAGGTAAGACAAGGTTTGACTTGGAAGCATCAAAAAACAAAAACAAAAACAAAACTCAAGAGTTTGATGACTAGCAACCCAAGCGTGGTGCCTCCATTTTGTCTGAGAATACAGAGAAGGGGGAAGAGCTCCCGCCCTCAGTCTAGAGGAATTTGCCTTGGTGGGTGTGATTCTGCTGTAACAGAACGTGTACCTGTGAGGACAACCTGTCACACAACACCTCAAAGGGGAGAATTGTGGAAGACACCCGTGTGCAGCAGACCCTACACAGTGATCAGTTCCTAAAGATCAGGAGAAAATTCTAAGATGAAGAGATTTCTATCTGTCATAAAACTTTGATAGCATAGCTTTCTCTAGACATCTCTATTTAATTTTACCTCTGCTTACAAAACACCAAAGAATCTTCTCTTCTCTCATCGTCTCCCACCACCACCATCCCTCTCCACCAGAACAGGCTAGTCAGGTGCGTATTACTTTCACACAGGTGATTTTCCCGGTAGACTGCTAGGGAAATTCCACGAGTTAGCTTCTTTTAGACAACCACATCACCTCTCCTTCCTATATCCCAGTTTTTCTGCTCTGAGTCCACAACACTACCTTCAGAAGTTTACGACACAGGAAGCTTCTTGTAGTCCCTCAAACCTTCCACCCAGTCACCTGGAGCCACACCAGTCTCTCTCTGCCATAGACAAACTAGCAGTGTGCATGAGTCATGATTCATGATCTGAAATGTTTTCAGGAGGCAACTCCTGGCCATTCACAACCTTTGACAATTAATCTCTGTTCTCTTTTTCTCCAAATTCAGCAAATCAGCAGCTACCGTCTGGTGGTGAGCGGCGCAGACAATGATGGAGCGGGACTATCAAGCCAATGTGAATGCAGTATTAAAGTGAAAGATGTCAATGACAACTTCCCGGTGCTTAGAGACTCTCAGGTACATCCACTGGTCCTTGAAGAACCACTTTATATACGCTTAATAGTTTAGCATCCCAAGCCACAAACTGCCTCTTTGTTGGTTACTAAATTTTCTGTTTT